GGAAAAAATATAGCTCACCAAAAAGTTGAACGGAACCATCCCTCACATATTTCATATGATCGTACTGGTAAATATTTTTATAATCTGACTTTTAATATCTACATCCCTTAAATTTTGTACAATCGCACAATCGGTCGACAATCTTATACATGCAAATTTTGATCATGGATATTTCGTGCCTAAAGTTGACATCTGCCTGAAGTTGGCACCTGCTAGCTAGTGCGTGCAGGATGATCTAATTTCAGGGGCTAGTTTCAGTCAGGTGTAACTTCAGGCACGGCAGATACTGTACATCATTTTGTAAACCACGATAATTAAGAACCCATCACTCAAAGGTCTCGCTTTAAGTAAACAAGATTCATTTAAATTATTTTTCAGTGCATATCATAGTCCATTGCCAACCCTGCCCATGACGTAATCTAGAGCTCTAATCTAAACCTGACTACTTTGGATCAGTCTATCCACGCATCAATCGAAGCCTTCCATTATTAAGGATTTAGGTTAGTAGTATTTGATTGATATTAGTTGCTAGTTATTATTAACGTGACCGTTTATCAGTTCCAGTTCCATTTTTCATAGTTACAACGTATGTATGTATTATAAAAATGTAAAAATTAACTATTAAACACCATATTTTACTATGTTTAATAAAACAGGAAAAAGGCAACTGATTTAATTAAGGTTAAAATTCGATATAAAAGTCATTTCCAATTAATTATTTGCACATTTTATATTATCGATTTTAGATACATATCCAAGATACTTCAAAATTGTGAGGCTTTTATTGTTAAATAAATTGGTTTTAAACACCTAAAAATTTTTAACAGTTTTAATATAGTTTAAACTACTAAACATTAAACGATCTTATTTAAAAAAATAATTAGTAATTCACATTTGAAACCCATAAATCAATACCAGAAGTAGGTTTAGATAAAGCATCACCAATTTTCGTTTCATAAGTATAACCTTCAACTGATCTAAACTCAAAATTTCTAATAATCACAGATATGATAGATTTAAATTCCAAATAAGCCAATTTCGACCCTAAACAAAATCTTGGACCAGCACCAAAAGGTATGGAATTATAACGTGTTATTTTTGAATTTATTTCCGGATCAAGCCACCGGGATGGGTTAAAAACTTCAACATCATCACCCCAAATTAAGGGATCATGGTGTATTGCGTAGATAGGAATCCATAATGGAGTATCCTAAAAGAAAAGTTTTTAAAGTTATATATTATTTTAATATCAAATAAATTTAATCATGGGCTATTTTGGAAAAATACCTTCGGAACAAAGTAACCATTCATTATTTCATCTTTTGAAGTATAACGACGGATTATAGGTACTTTAATTAATAAATAAATAAGATGAAACAAAATAAAGGTAAATGAATAGAATAACTCCAAATATATATAGATATTAAAGTCATACCAGGTGCAATGAGCCTTATAGTTTCTTTAAAAACACACTCTAAATATTTCAAATGTTCAATCTCATCAACAGTTGGAAAATAATTACGATCAGTTAATATATCAGACACTTCTTTACGAAGACGATCCTGAGTATCAGGATATTTTGCGAGAAAGTATATTGCCCGAGTTATTGCATTACTAATGGTCTCATGTCCAGATGTGATTAAAGTCATAACCTACAATTTAATAAATTTATATTTTAAATAAAAATTTAATAAAATTATATATTTGATATACATATTTCAAATAAAAATTGAACAAATTATATATATTAATAAATAGATTCTTACATGACTAAATAATTCTTTATGTGTTAATTGCTCATTAACTGGCAAGTTATCATTTGCTTTTATTACCAATGACAATAAATTTTTTCCTATAATAGGGCTGTTTTTTTGATCAGCAACTATTTTCTCAGAAATATTATTGACAATTTTAACAGAATTAAAATATTTTTTGTTAAAAGGGGTTGGCAATCTTCTGATAAACGGAAATAACTTAACAAGAGTTGTGTATAAAGGCGAATAACCTTGACCAACTCTTGATTCGTATGCTCGAGCTAATTCAGATCCTGAAGTAGTAGAATTGAATTCGTAATTAAACCCTATTTACATTAAAATAATGTAATTATGATTAGAAACGCCATTGATAAAATTTAGCATGTAAAACGAAAATAGATTAATGCTTACCAACATTACCAATAACATCTAAAGTTATCTTTGGAATTAATTCTGTAATTATAATTCTTTCCTCTTTCTTATTGCCAATTTGATTTATCCAAA